AGAGTATTGAACTGGTCGTACTGCAAGACAACGCCACATGGGAAGACTGGGAGCGCTGGCACCACGAGAACAGCGGCAGCGGCGAGGAGTCGGACGGCCCCCGCACCGTGCAAATGTCCACCTTTACCTTTGTCGCCCTCGTCCTCGCCTTTGTCAGCATCGGCGGCGTCCTCCAGGGCACCCGATTCACCACGTTTAACAATTCCGTCCTTGAACGCCGGGAGCAGATACATCGCGAGGCGAGCATGGAGCTGAGACGCAGCCAACACGCGACCATGGGTGCCGACCGGCAGGAGCGCATTCGCACCTTTTTGGAACACCGCATGTCCACCATTGACGGCGAGCGATCCTATCACCGTCTCCTCCCTCCCGCAGACAACTGCTCCCCTGACACGGTTCGACGGCAATGACGAATTTCTTTCCCTATCCCTTCCTCTTCCCTTGCAAGCGGGGGGTGAAGCGCATTCTGGCGCCACTTTTCCGAATCACTCCTCCATCACGGGGAGAGAGTGTCTCTCTCTCTCTCTCTCTATGGAGAGATGAATTGAAGATTGCACATTCTGGTACCCCATACCTCCATCCTCGGCCCATTTCTCCACACCATGGACTATTGATTTTCCTTGCAGCATGAACGGGAGCTTGGGCGCATGGTTCTTTACGGGGGGCTTCATTCTCGTCTGTTCTTGCCTGTACATATGGTCGCCATGGACATGCATGGGTTCTATGAGGTACCTACTGTCCATGTAACCGCCATTCGCATGAGGGGAGGCGCATGGCATAATTCCGGTTAACACCAGATTTCATGCAACCAACCCTCCCAACCCCAATCAACGGTTCTACCTTTTTTCCCCCCCACGTCCATTATCGATTCAAAATCGAGGCTTTGAGTAACGCAAGGGCTGGTCTTTTTCTTTTGATTTTGATTTTCGATTTTTCCCCGTGTGCGGAATGATTGTCGTTGAGCTGATGAATCGGATTTGGATTGGGTGTATTACTCATCACTCCTCCCCTCCCATTCAACCCTGGACCTTACCCCTCGGTTCGCCCCGCCCGCATCAAACAGAGAATGCTGGCACATTGTAACATGCATCCATACCACATACCACACACCCCTCTGCCCTCCTCCTAGAGTACACTACACCAATACTTGCCCCCTCACACGCCACACTACACCAATACTTGCCCCCTCACACGCCACACTACACCAATACTTGCCCCCTCACACGCCACACTACACCAATACTTGCCCCCTCACACGCCACACTACACCAATACTTGCCCCCTCACACGCCACACCCGTACACCCCACTTCCGCCCCCTCCAAAGAAAACCCGCGCAACCATCTTCAATACCACGCACCCTATCCCCCTCCATTCCCCTCCATTCCCCTCCATCTCTCTTCTTGGGCTTCGAAGGTGTACTCTAGCCAGTGCTTACTCTGCACTGGCTAGAGTAACCGGCCTGGCTGGGGTGTGGACATGGGTTGGTGTGGGTGTGGGTGTCAAGGGAAAGGAAGGGACGCTGGGCGCGCTAGTGCGTGTGGTGCAGTGTGCGCTTGGGTGGATGCGGTTAGACTGCTGGATTGGTCGGGTGGGGGCTGCATGTGGCACGGGTGTGGATGGCTGCCGGGGGGTTGGTGAGGGCGGTGAGGTTGTTGGTGAGCTGTTGTGCTTGGAAGATGAGATTTTTCCTGATTCGCAATCAATCATCTGTGGCTGTGATGAGACTGGGAGGCGTGGTGACGAGGGGAATTAGTAGGAGGAGGGAGAGAGAGAGAGAAAAGCATGGGTTATATATAACGCTCTGTTTGCTATCATCCATTTTCTCGTAATCTACAATCCGTGCAGTTTTCTCGACGCTTTCAATACCCAATGCCGGAGAGATAAAAGAGATGTGTGTGTTGTGGATGCTGTGTTGATGGGGGGGAGGTTTTTTTTCACGCTTTCGTGTTGATTTGTAAATAGGAGGGGATCAATGGTATCGGTTTAGCGGCGCTTGGTTGCATAACCGCTGTTGGCGATGTTGTCATATTTTGAATCTGGGTAGAGGAGCCAATTCGAAGAGGATTCGATGCCTGAGCCTTGCGAGTCGGCGAGACTGGCAACGACCTGTTGAATGGGCCGTTAGTTTTGTAAAAAAAAAAAAAAAAAAAAAAAAAAAATAGAGCATTCATCATGGACGAAACTCACGTCCGGGTTGGGAAAACTTACATTCCGAATAATACTCTCCTCTCCCGCTTTATCCCCACTAACTTCCCACCACATGGCGCCTCCCAATCCTAGCCTCTTCACATACTCTGCCTTGCGCAGTGCCATGTCCACCGTGTCGTAACTCACGAGCATGCCCGTCTCTGCATTGAAGCTATACGTCGCGCCCGCCTCCTCGTCGTAATACTCCGTCTGACCCTGCAGCGGCATATCCTTGAAGTCGTACACGCCCTTCTCCCACGTGCCCGCGCCGATGCCATTGTACGATTTCCCAAGGCCGGTGGTGGAGGTGAAGGAGCGGCCGTAGAGGGGCATGCCGAGGTTGAGCTTCGAGGCGGGCACAGAGGCTGCGACGTACGCTTTTATGACCGAGTCGGTGTTGAAGGGGGTCGAGGAGGGGTTCGAGGAGGAAGCATAGAGGTTCGAGGCGTGACCTGTTGTCTTGTCCCAGGAGCCGGCGTAGTCGTATGCCTAGGTTGGTTAGCATCTCGTCTTCAATTCATCTTCGTCTCCTTGTTCATGTGACTCACCATTAGGTTTATGAAATCCAAAGTCTCTGCCATGTCTCCGAGTGGCATGTTACCGTAGTTCTTCTCTCCAGCCGGTGCGGCAATGGATAGGAGGAACGTGGGCTTCATTTCGCCACCATTTCCATCATCGTAAATGAGCGTGTTGGCGTATTCATCTAGCTGTCTCCTGATCTCCCTCAACAGCTCCAACAGCTGCTGGCCTTGATTCGTATCCTGTGGATACTCCCAATCCACGTCGATACCATCGAACCCACAATCCTTGAGCAATTGCACCGCACTAGCAGCAAACCTCGTCCGCCCCTCAGCAGTCGAGGCCGGCGCGTCCATGTGTTTCTTCTCATTGGTGTAAGTCCAGCCACCAATGCTCAACATGACCTTCATGTTCCGGTTCTGGGCCTTGAGCAAAGAGAGCTGTTTGATAGCACCATAGACATTCTTGCCAGTGTCGGACCACGAGTCGCCATCGTAGTGGATTTCCGCGTCCGCATAGGTGTCTGTGAGGAAGACTGTGCCGTCCTCGCGGTTGTCGGCAAAGGAGTAGAGGAGGTGGGTCAGCTGAGAGGCGGGGATTTGTTGCGGGAAGAATTTGCGGGCGTAGATGTCCCAGTTGCCAAAGTAGGCTATCGAACGGTATCCATCACGTGATTCTATCTCGGGCTTGGGCTCAGCAGCTATGTTGGTGTTGCTTGGGTAGCCAGGGGCGGTTGTAGAGACTGTGATGACAGCAAGACTGCTGGGAGCATATTGCGAAGGCTCACTGATGACCTGGAGACCAGTGTTATTATGTTGATGGTTTGGCGTATTGAGATAAACTTACATATGGCGTTCCAAAGGTGCTAGGAACAGACTTTGGAGGCTCACTTGGTTGATAAGAGCCCGGAGGCTTGGGGTCTGGGCTACCTTCGTCGGGAAACTGATAGGATGTTAGATTAACAGGCTAGCAGAAGAGCACCTGGCTTTCCAAGAAGAGATTCGTGGGGCTATCATCTCCTCTTGCTTCGGGATACTCCAAGGTGGTGATACCTCCGCAAGAGATTCCACACTTGACTTACCAGATATTTTGTGATTTTGTCAATCTGATCCTGCAATGAATCAATCCGCTCTTCAACCCAGCAATACCAATCACAGGTATTGTTATCCGAAGTATCCTGCTGCGCCAATGCAGTGGCCGAAAGAAGGACGAGGGTGAGATAGAACCACTGAAACGGCCGTGCGCACTAGCGTCAAGTCAGCCCCAACCTCCTCCCATCGATCTCGTCTCCTGCACTCACCAACATCTTGCCTGTTCGTCCCAACTGAAGCGAATGTACAAATCTTACTGCCTCCAGACACCAGGTAGACCCTTACCGTTATAAAGTCGCGAACCCTTCGTTTCATGACCCCGCAGCGTCGCTCCCTTCGCCCCAGTGGACCCAGATGCTCCCTTGGTACCTGGCAGGTGTCATTCCTGGTTCCAAAGCGGGAACCAGCGGACACGCGTTTTATTGTCATTCCTGAATCTGTTTCGCCCTATTTGGATCCGTGTTGCCTGCGCCCATGGTCTTGCGTGACTTTGGAAAGAGGGCGCAGGGATGAATGCTACGACAGGTGCACGCAGAGGATGACTTGGGGCTGCCCAAAACAAATCGTCTCTTCTGGAATCATCTTTCTTGACTCAAATTGAAGACTTGGTGACCTTCTGGAATCCTAGAGTAGGAGTACTTCTAGGGTCGTCAGCGTACAAGAGGAGGCGCGCTCATTTGGCCCACCACTCAATATGATTACAGATGAAACGAACATGCGCCACTCCTAGATTATTTGGTTCCCTTCTAGCATAGTACGATTAGTGGATATTGCTGCTTCAGCACTCTTGGTGGCCTGGATGTACCAGCAGACGCCTGGTTAAACCCATTAAGCCTTGCTTGACATTGACAGCCGTTGAAGTGCTTACGTTTTGAAGGTCCGGCAGTCATGAGGGTGCGACGGCTGACCTAACAGTAGATTCCCTTTGATTTACTCGAGCATCGGGTGCTCTGTCGAGGTCAGTCCAGCCGAGATTGGTGAGACCAGCGGCCCAAGATGGGAAAAGAATCCGTGTCGATATCAGTACGGATTAGGAGCCGGAGAAGACTCGGTGAAATCCGTGTTGTGCTGGCATCCAAGGCCTGATTCCCTATGCATGTCCTAGTTACAACTTGAGCAGCATCATGATGCGAAATCCAACTGGCACTCCATGCTCGTGAACCGCAATTGTATAAACTTGCCCAGAGCATGACCTATAGGGTTTCGTGAGCATGTTTGAGAGGGTAGCACACGTTGCCTCGAATTCTTCAGTCATGCTTGCTAAGCTCGCGCGCAACCTTTGCATAAGCATTCCACTTCCCCAGGCTTACGCAGGCATCCCACAAAGTCTGTAGAACCAAGTGTTTAGTAACATTAACGAACAGATACAGTGACAGTGGTCGGCTCTAGCGGCACCCATATCAATTTAAATTGATGGCAATTATGCATTGGATACTATTTACATTGCTTAAGATCACTTTAACATATCCGAGATGGTTGCTCTACAATCTCCTTCAAACCAAGATCTAACAAAATGCAACCGCGCACATGAATGAGTAACACGGCAACCCGTCTCTCTCATGCGAAACGAGCCTGCTGCGATCTACCATATCTTTCGCTATTAACAATTTTTCCACGTGACGCACATGGACGACGGGCGGAGCTGAATCATTATGCGCCAACTTACGGGACCTATGCACTTTCGGTTGCATTCTTACTAATTCCTGTAATTCTCATATGCTGCGTTTGGTTGTCAACGCTGGATGTACCATGTATACCATGTTAGCCTTTGATTTGATCGTCAACATAGCAACAGTCGGGTTAATACTGCACCACCAAGGATTTAAAGTGAAATGCTATCAAAGAAAAACTTAGCTAGTCATGCTTTTGTCCAAGTGATAAGTGAGTGATACATACAGGGTGATATCGAATAGGTACGTTGCGTTGCATGCCTACTATGGTAGTCAGCGTGTCACACTGAGTTGGCCCAGACCGATGCTTTATAAGTCATTTATCGGGTTCTTGAAATCTCATTGGATCGCACCCAATATGGCACAAGACGCTACTTCATGTTAGCACTGTCGAATTCGTATTCGGCGTGTGCGAGTCAACATAGGAGCAATGGTACAACAACACACTACCCTAAGAACAAGATGAGCACCAGAGCAATTGAAAACGCATTGGGACATAGCTATTATCTAACAACCCGGATGTAATGGAGACAAATCGCTCCCAAGCATAGTAGCGATTGAAAGCTGATGTATCATTCTGCAGAGCTTGTACTCAGGCCATCGCCTCACAACAACCATCTATACCACCACCTCCAGGGCCGCATAGCGTGTGCCTCAATGCCTATATGATAGAAAACTTGATTCAGATAGGCAGGCACGAGACCTACCGCGGTCCAACGCTGCACGCGTACATTTAAGTTCCGCGCCAAATCAGCGACTCTGCGCCAATCCTCCTTTCCTCTGTCCTACGGCAGTTAAGCCGTCACAATCGCGATTAGCCCAATATTTGACGTCAACCCTTAAGGGTGCATACAATAAAACACCATCAAATGCAGATGCAGGTGATAGTAAATGCTATACACGGAGCATAATATATTGACCGTGTCCGGTTGGGCAGTATTGCCATCTGCCCATGCGTGACGACCATAAATATCAAAGGGTTTCAATTGCAAAATGCTGATTTACTTGCTCTGTGATATAAATCTCCAACCCTTGGTTTACTCGGTCGTGCAAGCATCGTCCACCAAGTTGGAAGTGTCAATTTCAGTCTGCACGAACGCCAATAACCATGCCACGCACACTCTCAACGGTGCTCACTTCATGTTACGGAATTGAAAGACGGGCTATGAGCTGCTGAGCGACTATTGATTCGTTGAAAGTCGTTTATAGACTGGGACTACCCTTGAAACCTCATATTGTCTGATGTATCACATTCAGACCGACAACAATCGGAACTCCTCGATGCTTCTACTTCTCTTAGCCGCCCAATAACCTTTTGCAGCTATTTTCTCCATTCTTAAGAACAATGATTCTGGTTACTATATCATGTGAAACCTGACACAAGGGATCTACTTGGTGGTCAACCGCTCACAGCTTTTATGAGTGGTAGCAAGCCCTAAGCCTTTAATGTCATCTGTTATCCTAAAGCATATTTTGCGAGTGTATTACGCGAAAGATATGCTAGGCTCTGTTTTATGTTAACAAATAAACGACGAGCGTGCGCTCCGTGACCAGGTTGAACAATGCTTCCTAGTTGAGAAAAAGTTCTCCGGCCAGTTCCTTCTAGTTATGGCCGAAGGCTATACGGTATAGCCGAGCTTATTGATCGTGCACTTAGTGGCCTTCGGCCCTTCGGATTCAACCCAGGATGTTTATGTCAGATTCACTGCAGTCCGTCGTTTTTCAGCCTCCTTAACTTAATGCCTACTATACTACACTCACAGCAACAAGAACCCTCCTCCACAACTTGATACATTCATTTTCTAAATTACTTCCTACGCCTTAAGCCAAAAGGATTTTTTTTGACAAAATCAAGCATGCAGTACTTTCCTATCTTACTACTTCTAACTGTGCTTGCCAATGCCCAGGTACTGAAAAGGGACAAGCACGGCTGTAGACATATTAGGGTCTGCCACGCCAACGTTCATGATGTTTCAATCGATGCAGATTACAAAGTATGAATACCTCTTCATTTGTCACTCTACACGCATGGTATGTTGGAATTATCAGACTAACGGGCAAGTAGACATGTAGAACTTTAAAGCAATGTAGTAGGGTAGGAGCTGTAGAGGAGAGGTGCAACGATTATGAGTTCTGCAAGAATGGTGATTGTGTACGTCAACTAAGCAAAGTTAAGAAAAACTATAAGGTTGCGCTGACGCAATCTCAGATGTATGACAAGGGTGTGTTTAGCTGCTGGCGTCGGTGTTGCCTTGAAAAGACTATCGCTTGATGTCCTCAGGTATGAGTTGGTTATTACCTTCTCGCTACTATAGAGATAGATAGGATAGGTAATATATTGATTTATCGGGCTGGCCTTAATTAATCCTTCTAGTTACATGAATCATGGACCGTCTTATGCCGATAGTCTCTTATACATTCACTCACTACGGTAAAAAATTGTTTACTGTAGAATGGTACGCTAGGGGTTTACTATATAGGTGTAAACTGACCTTGTGTATACCCGTAAATAGGTCTAAAGTGGTGGTTTACTTTTATTATAGGTGGTTTAAATTAAGTATAAAAAGTAGTTTTATATCTATTATACGCTATAATACCTAACTAAGACTAAAAGGGGTAGAGAAGATTAGCTTCACGCTATATGTACATATAACATAATAATAAGTCATGATATTTTTAGTAATAGGAGGTGGTGATAAGTCGGTGGGTCGTTGTTAG